TCCTCCCCCCTCCCCTCGTTTCTCCGCACTGCGAGCAGTTCCCATGGCCATCGAGGAGCAGGTGGCGATAATCTACGCGGGCGTGCGTGGCTACCTCGACAAGTTGGAGCCCAGCAAGATCACCAAGTTCGAGAGCGCCTTCCTGCTGCACATCCAGAGCCAGCAGAAGGAGGTGCTCGCCACCATCAGGTAGGTCCTAACAGACGCCAGGTTCACGTTTGAGATGACCCTTTGGATCGCGCGTTCTTGTCGTGTGGAATGAGAGCGAGTCGTCGTTTTTAATGCGTCGGTCTTATAATGTGTACACTGTCGTGAATTGTGTCTTTGGAGTGACCTTCAAAATGGGCGTGGTACTAATATTGTTTGTGATATTGAAGAGCAATCGTTGAGGTTGCAATTAATAAAACTCCCTTTTAAATTCTATTCTTAAAAGTAAAAATGTGTTTCCTCTTTGGGTTATATGTTTGTATGTTGAACTTCTTTCGAACTGTACGCATCCAACCGTGTTAATCGGAGGTTATAGCGTTGTTGATCTTACACTCCCAAATTTGCTCGTAAAAATCTATTCACATTTTATGCCAATTACGAAAGAAGTTCAGCATTACATGCAGATTATAAGCTGATGTTACCATCACGCCGATGTAACAAACGGCATGGGACAAACGAGCTTCAGGGAACGGATTCTTGGACCGAAATCGTGAAACGTTGCACATCTCCTGGTGACACTTATAACGTCCACAACATTTTTTAACCTTTTCTTTTCTCTTGCTGTCAGGACTGAGGGTAAGATCTCCGAGGCGACAGACGTGAAGCTGAAGCAGATCGTGACGTCCTTCCTGTCCACATTCGAGGCTTGATCGCATGCACATGTGGAACACATTGCCGAAGAGTTTCCTCGAAAGGAGCTCAATCCAATTTTCAGACACGCACCACGTCTGTCATATGAGACCCGACTGTATTTATGTGCGGAAGGAAAGCAAAATAAAACTTTACCTACAGTGAACCGTGAGTTGTTGGTGGTTTTTGTTGGTTGGATTGTGTGACTTAAGTGACATTGAAATAAATCAGTTGGGCTCCATTCTAAAACTCCACGTATAAATATAAAACACTTAAATCTTGACTTAAAGCTTTCGTGACTGCAGGAGTTAATATTCTTTTGGTAAAGTCACGTACAATTTTTTTACAAAAAACTACGACGTTTCGATCGCGACGTCTTTTTTCTCCTGATGACGATTGCTTGTGTTGCGATCGAAACGTAGTTTTTTGTAAAAAAATGTTTGTTCTACGTGACTTTACCGAAAGACCCAAAGAATATTAAACTCTTTGTAATTCTTATTGGTATATTGGCCAATAAAATTGACACATTTAATCAATTATTTGCTCCAACTGCCTATTCACACTGCCTACTCATGTCTAATGTGACACTTTTTTCCAGCAAAATTGTGCGTGCAGAATTATACCAAGGTTTATGTAATGCATTTTAAACGTCTTGCACCATATGTATCCAACCGTACTATTCGGAGGTGCGGTGGAAAGATATCAAACCAAATACACAAAGCAGTTTTAAAGAAAAAAATTTTCGGCCAAGATTTAAAAGTGCATGGCTCCAGTTGCTTCCTGATAGTCGTCGTCCCCTCGCCCACCGAGTTCTCAGAGTCGGTAGTTGCCCTGTTTGCTGAGCGTGTAGTGCAGTTCACTGCCTCCAACTTGTCATCCGGGTTACAGGTACCCCTCCTGCACTCTTGAGAATGCTCCGCGCACTGGGCGACAAACGCTAGTCCGTCGGAACGGTGTTTTTTGATACGTGAATGCCTATTTGCCATTATGCTCATCAACTCCGTTGTCGGTAGTGTGGTGTGGCTTGTATGGGCCATGACAACGAATTAAACAGTGCTGCCCACTCGGGTAGTAACGACATCGGCTCAAGGGGTGCGGCAATCGGTCAGGTGGGGCCTACAATAAACATTTTTGCTAAAGTGGGAGACTGAGCGAGCTCTCTCCCACTTCAGCAAAAACATTTTACTGGTAGGAACCTCCTGGTTACACCAGCCCACAGGGGATTATTGTGTCCGTCGTGCAGGGAGGGGCTGGGTGAGGAGCATGGGGCTGGGTGGGGATGGGCAGGGTGGGGAGGGGCTGGGTGGGGGGTTGGAGGGCTGGGGCTGGGTGGGGAGGGGCTGGGTGGGGAGGGGCTGGTCACCCCGTGGTGCCCTTATAAAACTCAACGTTTAACCTACTCACGCCGGCTTGTGCCCGCCCTCACAGTCGGGCATATTTGCGGAATACACCACGCCGCCGTTGACCGAGCAACCCAACGTTCCTACCAGCTCCCTCCGCAGGAATGTGTTTTCTTGCTGTGGTTTTCCCACCTGATGACGATTGCTTGTGTAGAAATCGAAACGTGATTTATTTCTACCTACGTGACTTTACCGAAAGAACCAAAGAGTATGGATTCCTGCAGTCACGAATGCTTCAAATCAAGATTGGGGCCCTTCAATGTTTGATTATTGCAAACCCAACATTACCGCTCTTATTAAATTAAAGGAAAACGTGGAACGTCAATGAAAACATTTCAGAAAAATACATTTTTTTAACTGCTTTTGAAAACATGGGTGCCTGTCAAGGGGGTCCCACCAACTTGTAGCTTTGGTCACCAGGCGGGAGGGGGGGCAAGGCACCCCCTGCCCCTACGCAACTGGGCCCCAAGCCGCTGCAGTCCATGGATGTGAAGCGTGTGTCCCACTGGCTGTGCACGCCCAGTAACGGCACGACTACACGAAAGAGGAGCAACTAAAAATAAATCCTTTATCGCTTTTCCAAATGAAACTTTGCACTGCGCCCACTGCTAACGCGTGTGAGCTTATCGCCGCTGGGGTCGTTAAAGTAACCGTTGACAGTTTCGTTGCACGCTGCTTGCGTTTGAGCTTGACAGGTGGCACCGTTGAGAAGCTGGGTTCAAATCTGCGTTTGGGTCAACCAAACCCCTAATCTGGCCTCCCCAGTGTACCATAATTTGTCTAGTGACTTACCATCAGATCCAAAAAAAAAGTCAGCATATGCCATTAAAAAATGTTTGACACGTGATAAAAAAAGTGACATGCCCCTTGTGTGGAATAGCCAGCCCTGTTGAAGTCACTGAGGGCAGTAGGTTAGTGACATGTTCTTTAACAGGATGGTGAGGACCGCTCTCCAGGAGGAGTTTCAAGTGAAAATGTCTTTGCTTTGTGACGTGATGCTGACTGCCCAGTTGGAATGTTATTGGTTGGGAAACGCGGAATAACATTATCTGCAGAATATAAAGGGCTGTATTCTCTTAGTACAGTGCTTTGCTGTGGTGGAATGGCAATGGATGTAGTTTTAAACTCGAAGGGTCCTTCTGTCTGCCACTTGACGTTTGAGGGCCAGAAATATAAAAAAATGTTAATCTAACAGACCCACCTCTCTCTGCCCCCCCCCCTCTCTCTCTATTTAAGGCCTCGACACAGAGGCATTGAGTCTCTCTGTGTCTATGTTGTGTGTGTCTCTCTGTGTCTCTGTGTTGTCTCTCTCTGCTTGTGTGTCTGTCTGTGTGTCTCCGTGTCTGTGTTTTGTCTCTCAAATTTAGTTCTACCTGGTGACGGTGGCTTGTGTTGCAATCGAAACGTCGTATTCCATTATTTAATTTAATTTCTTTCTACGTGACTTTACCGAAAGAACCAAAGAGTATTATTAATCTAATTTGAAAACGAATTTCTTCGGAACTGCTTTTTGTGTTTAGTTTGTTGTCCTTCCCCCGCACCTCCGATTAGCACGGATGGCTACGTACGGCGCAAAAGAAGTTCAACATATATGAGTGGAGGAGTTTTTTAATCATTCTTTTTAAATGTGATTGCGTTGGCCTGTACTCGGGTTAACGGTCGATATTTATATTAATGCTCTCAATAGCTTACAATTCATCGTGCTTTCTGACGACAGGTTTTGAAGCTTCATTAATGAAAAAGTATTTGTTTCAAAGTTGCCGTTAAAGTGTGCCTTTTAAAAGCGTATAAGTGATGTCACTGCCGTGCATTTTGAAACAAAAGTCAATGAAGCGATGGGGTTTTGTTTTTCTCTCGCCAAGCTTCAGGCTCACATGGCACAGTCCACGGCACCGGTGCGTTCCCGCACGTACCTGGCTCCGTGACCACCAAACACAAACTGCCGAGCTACTACTTGACACGTTGTTTTGACTTGGTAAGGAGATGAGAGCCCCCTGAAATGCAAGCCGCCCTTCTCTCCATCAACCGAACTTCATTTATTTGAAGGCGCCTTAAAAAAAAATCCAGGGACGCTATATTTTAAATTATCCTCCATTAACAATTTTAAACCGCGCAATTAAAATGGTAATTAGGTTAACTCACTACAACTAAATATTTTTTATTGTGTCGGGTAAGGCCCGCTGAGCTATAATAGCGCTTTTTCAGAATCGACCATGGCCACAAATGATGGCTCAACGAAGCGCCTTATCATTGGGAAATGTATAGCAGCCAGATACTCTAAACGCGTGTTTCTAAACGTGGATGGAATAACCGGAGGACCTCGGAGAATATCCACGCGACCACGGAGAGAGACATGCGAACTCCAAATATACAGCAGGCGTCACGGTCGGAATCGAACCCACGTCCTCCTGCTATACCAGGCGAGGGAGTTAACATCTCCTGGCCACCGTGATGATGATGAGAGAGCGAGACACGAAAACTCCAAATATATAGCAGGCGTCAGGATCGGGATCGAACCCACGACTTCCTGTACACCGGGCGAGGGAGTTAACATCTCCTGGCCACCGTGATGATGATGATGAGAGAGCGAGACACGAAAACTCCAAATATACAGCAGGCGTCAGGGTCTGGATCGAACCCACGCCCTCGTGTACACCAGGCGAGGTAGTTAACATCTCCTAGCCACCGTGGCGCCCCTCCACACGTATTTAACTATCGGGTGCCCATACTGGTGCGCTGCTGAAATAGTAAAACACTGACACATTTGTTCACGTGACAACTTTATTAATTGGTTATATCGGGTGGAGGAGGGTGTACGACACACATTTTACTCACGCGACCTGAACTAAAAAAATATATGAATCATAATAATGATCGCTAAAGCCTACGCGTTAACATTTTACCTGTAGTGTTGTGACAGTACTGATGGTGTAAAAACAATGTCGTTTGTGTACACGTTTCACATATACTTAAAAAAATTGGTATTTACTGAAGGAACACATTTTCACAAGATCGCATCAGTAGAGATTGCTACATCATATTTTCACTGCCGCTATGCAGTGCTGCATCAGATCTGTCCACTCGGATTTTAATCGAATATTTAAACATTCACATTACTCAGCAGCGCTGCTTGCTACTTTACACTTTCACGAATAAAACAACCCACTTAAAACCCCATACGCAATCTGAGAAATGCGTTTTCGAGACGTCATATAACTGTGCATTTCAGGAAGAGGCTGCCTCTTAGCAACCCGAGCAAGGGTCACTTCTTGCGAGCATTTGAGCAACAATGGCACGGATCGTAGCTCCAGGATGAGGAGGCAATGAATTCTAGCTCTGGGTTGTTCGGTCCCGCGGTTGCTAACGCGTAATCAGGTAGATTCGTTGAGAAATTGAAAGGCGCCGGCCATAGCATCATCGTCGTCGTCATCATCTTCATCATCTTCGTCGTCGTTGTCGGTGCTTTCTCCGCCAAAACTGACGCACGCGGCCCACACAGTTTCTCAACAGAACCGATCTGGTGGGAGCCCAGCACTGGTGCATCACCATCATCACCATCGTCACCATCGCACACGTTGCCTTCGGTGTTCCATTCACCAATTAGTGCACGCGTGTGACGAGTCATCGCCCGAATCTGAGAAGACCTCAGGCCGAATTAATTTTCCTTCTCACCCTGAATCTATAGCCGCAAATCACGTGCTGCTACCTCTATGTATGTATGCTGACCTTCTTTCGCACCGTACTTAGCCAACCGTGCTCATGGAGAGAGGGGGTGGGGGGGGTGTGCTGCTGCCGATGTCGGAGCCAAAAAGGTTCAAGCCAGTTTTTTCTCCTCGTTGGTTTTCCCAAACACGTGCATCAAGTTGAACTCGGACTTGTCGTACGAATGCACCGTGGCGTGCGTCTCCTGGATGGGCTTCTCGCCCTCCGGGATGCGCACGCACTCGGAGAAGGTCCCGAAAATCTTGTCCATGTGGCTGAAGTGCGGCGCGAAGTTGGACATGGGCTTCTGGTGGTGCATGTCGTGGTGGAGCGAGCCGCCGAAGAGTCCGAGGGGCAACCAGTGGCGCGTCGACCAGGGGAAGTCGTAGCCGCAGTGCTGCTCCACCGAGGTGTACACGTGGAACGCCATGAAGGCCCACGTGGTGAGCAGGTGGCATTGGAGCAGCACGGGGTCGATCGTGGTCCAGGCGCCCACCACGAAGAGCTCCCAGCAGCCCAGGTACTGCGTGGACCACGAGAAGGGCGACATGAACTCGTGGTGCACGGCGTGGAAGGTCTTGTAGAGCCACCGGAACTTGTGGTGCACCATGTGCCACACGAAGTACTGGAAGTCGAAGAGGAGCAGGCACCCCACAACGCCCATAATTAAGTCGCCGAGGTTCGGCGCCTCTTCGGGCAGGGGTATCGGTGGCCTCCAGTACCACTGGGCCACTCCGGCCGGGAAGATCAAGATGCAGTGGTTGTACATGGTGAGCCAAAAGCACTTGGCGAAGTTCGTGCTCGTGGGCTGAGTGTTCTGCTGGATCTTGTAGCGGTGGACGAAAGCCCAGCGCTTGCCCAGCAGGTTACAGGGCATGTAGCAGAGGCAGCAGAAGACGTAGAAGGCGACGTTGAAGACGACCGGGAATGCGGGAGAGCGCAGCTGGTCGGTGTAGTTGAGGCGCAGGTGGTCCCATGCCGGCTGCAGCACCGACTTCCTGGCGTAGTAGCGGCTCAGCCAGTCGCTGTCGTTGAGTTTGAGGAATTCCATCTCTCTCCGCACGGCGCGGTGGCTTTGCGCGTCTTGGCGTATTTCCTCGGCGTGGCTCAGCAACGGGCATCCAACCAACCAGCTACTATATATGCGCTCACAGTCACTCGAGAGCGGCTGACATCATCGCGGGGAGGGCGGATCAACGACCTAATAATGCCTGTAGCGAATGAGCGTTATATACTTTCGAACCTCTGTGTGATCCCCCCCTCCCCCCACCCTTCTTTCTGGCTAAACGACCTTGAAACAATCGGTTTAAAGGTGTGACTCTGATTGCTAGAAATCTGACCATTGCAACCTTGGTGCTGATAAAGGGATGTTCGCATAGTGCAATGCAGGACGCGTGGTGTATGGTTGCGTGCGTGCGCTGGGCACTGAGTGTACTGCTGGTCACGACAGGGGTTGCTTTCGGACAATATTCCTGCTGATGCTACTTTTTTTTGCTACGGTTTAAAAAGACATATTTAGATGCAAGCAAACATGACATTTGTGTTTTGTCTCCCGGTGTGTTTATTTGCAAAGTGCACGAATGCACTTAACGGCTGGAACTTATTTTATATTACTTCGGGATGGTATCGTTTAAAGTGCATCGCATATCGCTGGCAGATATCATGGTTACGAGGCTATAATCCTGGGACTATGAAGCCATGAAATCGACTCGTGCTCCAGGTGGATTGACATTGCCAGGCCACCAGAGGTAGTGGTGGCGGCTTTTGGAGGCATTCCTCCAGCAGTGGATATATCATGGCCGATTATTAACCGTACGTAGGCACATTACATTTAGTATAGTATAGAGTACTCTTTGGTTCTGTCGGTAAAGCCACGTAGATGAAAAGTAATAATAAAAATAATAAAATGTTATTATTATGATGAAAAATAAAAAAAGGATGCATTTTTTTAAATAATACAAATGTATTATTCTTTTTATTTTTCATCTACGTGACTTTACCTAAAGAACCAAAGATTATGGATTCCTGCAGTCACGAAAGCTTCAAATCAAGATAGTTTACAGTATTTTGCAAATTAATTTTGTATGTGCGCAGGTTTTGTTGGTGTTCCAATTCGTATTACGCGCTGATAGAATGTGAATTCTAGATTTGAAGTTTTCGTGACTGCAAGGATCCATACTCTTTGGTTCTTTCGGTAAAGTAACGTAGATGAAAAATAAAAATAAAAAATGAAAAATAAAATAAAATTTAATATTACAAAATTAATCTACGTGACTTTACCGAAAGAACCAACGAGTATGAATAGAATGTGAATTGAGCTCCTGCTAGAGGGTGGTCCAGATGTCCTGGGGACCGCGCATTTGGAGCACCCTGAGGTGCAATGCGAAGAAGACCGCTCGTCCGTGGGAGGGGTGGAGCGACGAGATAAGTCCACGTGCTGGAGCAGCACAGGACCCCAAGGGATGACGACGACGACTCAAGGAGGAGAAGGCACGAATCCAGCAGTGGATTGACCATGGCGGCTGATGACGATGATTACATTTTGTCATCAGCGTGAATGACTAATGTTTGTTGGTGTTCGGTGCTAGGTGATTTAAATGTGTAAGCAGAAGCGAGCTGCGGTTTCCCTGGCGACATCCGTGCGAATTAGAGTTGAACAAACGACCATTCGTGCCCTGCCAAATGGGCACAATGGGTGGTTTAGTTGAGAAAAAAGTCGCGATCTTGGCAACAGCCATTGCCGACGAGGTTACGCATTAATCTGGCATGCAAGGTTAAATATGTTTTGATCTTTCAACGTACAGTATTTTTCAATGTAAAATTGCGTCGTCATTTAAATAAACTTGCTTTGGTGACGCTTGGTTTGTCTTGGCAGGGATGTCAGAGTTAGCACGCTGGACATGTCATCCGGAGGTCGCCGATTCTAAACCACCCCCCCCCCCCCATTTCTTGACCTCTCCCCCCATTTCTAACCACCACCCCCCCATTGCTCACCCCCACCCCATTTCTAACCCTCCCCCCCCCCCCCATTTATGACCCCACCATTTCTTAACCTCCCCCCTCCCATTTATCACCCTACCATATCTTACCCCTTCACCCCATTTCTAACCACCCCCCATTTCTTACCCCCCCCCCCATTTCTAACCCCCCAATTTCTTAACCCCCCCCCTCCCATTTCTACCCCCCCCCCCCCTTAACCCACCTCCCATTCTTAACCCCTCCCCCCCCAGCTGTGTTTAACCATCAGTAGAGACTAGAGAGTTTACAGGCACATACCTCCGACACTACGGTAGTTCCCGCACCCCAGAAGCGCTCTCTCTCCCACACACTCAGGAGGAATAATAAACCAAAACTGTGCACGTGACAAGTTCTACATTATTTTCATTATTTTTTCACGAGATCTACGTGGGAACGACACACATTCCAATTAAGCAAAAGTAGTATGGCATCAGAACTGTAAATACATTATGTACGTACCAATACGACTTGAATAGATATATTTGCAGCCCTATGACAATCCTCTACTGGATGAAGGCCCACTCTTGACCTGTCGGTCACAGGGGAGGAGGGGGGGGGCGGTTGTCCGTGATCCGATCAGATATCGCTCCCCGCCGTGGAGTAGCCTTGGCTAGGAGTTGATCTCTGGGTTCAGGGTCCAGTGTCACAGCAGCGTAAACGGCACCGCGTTGTGTAGCGGCTGCGTGAATAGTGATTGGCATGAGCTTTCGGGTAAACGATCGCCCACTTCAACGCAACGTTCTTGCACGTCACCCTCCTGCTGCGTCTAGCATTTCTAAAACTCGACTGTACAATTCTTAGCAAATATTAAACTTTCAGTTGAGTCCGTGAGTTCATTGCACATCCAGCCATTGGTGCTATCGCTGGTGCGCAAATTTACATTTAGATTTTATTTTTGCTAGGGTCGGGGACATTTAAACATTAACAAAGCAGGGCCTCCGTGCTGCGATTGCTGACGACGATGATGAATGTAGATCGAGACACACAACCCGTCTAGGGAGGAACAGAGAGCCATCGAGTTCGGTTTCACCCCCCTCCCCCCCCCCACATCGTCCCAAGTGAAACGTGATGCCATTCGTGCTTCAACGCGGTCCTTTGTCCGCGTACATTAATTTGCTTAATGTATGCGTGGCATCCAATCAGCGGTTTCACTCTTTCTGTGCACAGGTGCCGTGCCAATTTAAAGCCCCAACAAAACAAGTGCGCGAGACTGGTTTGGCAGTGGCGCATTTGGCACAAATTATTAGAAGAAGAAAAACGTTACACATTTGTCAATTGCGCTGCCTCTGAAAAGAAAAGAAAACATAACAGGCGACATTTTGGCGAATGGTCCTTCTGTATTACGTGTTTCGGGCATTTTGTTGTAATCTGCCAATACTGTTTTGTATCATTATTGAATTATGCATGTTGAACTTCTTTCGCACCGTACGTTGTCAACCGTGCTCATCGGAGTGTGCGGGTGGGGGGGTACAAACGAAACTCAACACGAAAGGCGAGTTCTTGTCACGAGCAACGCGCACGTCCTTTGACAGCTCCACCAACCCACTCATCGTCAGATCTTGCAACTGCCACCCCAGGGCCCTCTGTCACCCATCGCCACTGAACTCACCAAGCGCCTTGCGTGCAGCATAGTCGGGTCTCGCCTCGACTGTTGCAAACTCCGTCCCTAATGCGATCCCCATCGAGAAAACCTCAAAAAACTCCAAAGTTTGTAAACACGGTCATCGCCCGCATCGTACTTGGTGTTTCTCATCCTCAGTTTTAGATTCGCTCACCTCCATCTGCTCCCTCCACTGGCTTCCCATCACCAACAGGGTCAGCCAACACAGAATCTCCTCCTGCCTGTGCCAACACGTCTCTTGCTTTCGGTCGTCCACCAAATCTCTATTCGGTACTGTCGCCCTGCACTGCAGCCCCTGTCACCCTGCACTACAGCTCCTGTCACCCTGCACTACAGCTCCTGTCACCCTGCACCACAGCCCCTGTCACCCTGCACCACAGCCCCTGTCACCCTGCACTACAGCTCCTGTCACCCTGCACTAAAGCTGCTGTCACCCTGCACCACAGCCCCTGTCACCCTGCACCACAGCTCCTGTCACCCTGCACCACAGCCCCTGTCACCCTGCACCACAGCTGCTGTCACCCTGCACCACAGTCCCTGTCACCCTGCACCACAGCTCCTGTCACCCTGCACTACAGCTCCTGTCACCCTGCACTACAGCTCCTGTCGCCCTGCACTACAGCTCCTGTAACCCTGCACTACAGCTCCTGTCGCCCTGCACTACAGCTCCTGTCACCCGGCACCACAGCTCCTGTCACCCTGCACTACAGCCCCTGTCACCCTGCACTACAGCTCCTGTCACCCTGCACTACAGCCCCTGTCACCCTGCACCACAGCTCCTGTCACCCTGCACCACAGCTGCTGTCACCCTGCACTACAGCTCCTGTCACCCTGCACCACAGCTGCTGTCACCCTGCACTACAGCCCCTGTCACCCTGCACTACAGCTCCTGTCACCCTGCACTACAGCCCCTGTCACCCTGCACCACAGCTCCTGTCACCCTGCACCACAGCTGCTGTCACCCTGCACCACAGCTCCTGTCACCCTGCACCATAGCTCCTGTCACCCTGCACCACAGCTCCTGTCGCCCTGCACTACAGCTCCTGTCACCCTGCACCACAGCTCCTGTCACCCTGCACCACAGCTCCTGTCACCCTGCACCACAGCTCCTGTCACCCTGCACTACAGCTCCTGTCGCCCTGCACTACAGCTCCTGTCACCCTGCACCACAGCTCCTGTCGCCCTGCACCACAGCTCCTGTCACCCTGCACCACAGCCCCTGTCACCCTGCACTACAGCTCCTGTCACCCTGCACCACAGCTCCTGTCACCCTGCACCACAGCTCCTGTCACCCTGCACCACAGCTCTTGTCACCCTGCACCACAGCTCCTGTCACCCTGCACCACAGCTCCTGTCACCCTGCACCACAGCTCCTGTCACCCTGCACCACAGCTCTTGTCACCCTGCACCACAGCTCCTGTCACCCTGCACCACGGCTCCTGTCACCCTGCACCACAGCTCCTGTCACCCTGCACCACAGCCCCTGTCACCCTGCACCACAGCTCCTGTCACCCTGCACCACAGCTCCTGTCACCCTGCACCACAGCTCCTGTCGCCCTGCACCACAGCTCCTGTCACCC